TAGTCATAATGCATAATGTTTCATTGTTGCCGTAATCTATTTTCTGCAGTTAATCAACCATTATCATACATGACCTTTGTTTAATTCTGTTTTGTTTAGCGTACAAATTCTTTTAGATAAAAAATTCACTTATCTAGTAACAAAAACCTGTTTGTGGAATAATACACATCATTTTACAATAGAACAAGGTGTTTTATTATGAGTCATCAATAATCATGTGTATTGAATAATTTCTTATGTAGATTTGTTTGTAGTTTTCTAGTTCCACATCTATTTCTACTGTTTTATGCCAAGAAAACCTGAATATCTCTCTCTCTATATATATACATGCATAGCAAATGTTAATCTACACATATAAACAATTCAATGCAAATATCTTCCTACGCATCGGTTGAACAAAAATGTCTAGTTGAATAGAATGATGAACAAATTAAATCATGCAAATGCTAAATAGTGAAGCTAAATTTTGTTTAGATATCCTTATTCTCAGACTAAGTACTTCATGTTAGTGTGTGTTTGTATGTATAATTGTGTGTTTTGAAAATAATGATAATAAAGATTTCTTCAACTGTTTTTTTTCCCGTTTCTCGCTTGCATTACCATTGCAAACATGAAATTTACATTAATATTCATTACAATTTACTTAATGTGTATTTAATGTTTTGATGAGATTTATATTAGGAGGTTTTTCTGTGAATTAATTTCTTTTTGTAATTTTATTGTAGTTGGAAAATTGTATTTAATTTCTGTGGAAGAAAATTCATTCGTGATATTTCTTATTCCAATGAAAAATTTTCAGCTTTCAAGTTTTTTAAACAGAAAATTTACCGAAATTTACTGTATATATTTACAACCTTGTGTTCTTTACACATTTTAGATATAAAGTCTATCTCAATCATTTGAAGTACCATTATGTGATATGACTATACAGGTCATAGAATATTGACATGTTTTTAATGATAGAAATTTCTTAGAAAAACTGACTTATAAGTTGCTGAAAACGTTTGCTAAATCATTTCAGTAATGTTACTCAAGAAAAAAAAATTAACTAAGTAAATTATGCATCATTCATTTCGAACTAATTTCTTTCCCCTTCAGAATTTTTGAAACTATGTGAATGTGGGAATTGTTTTCATTTAAGAATTTATGGAAAACATTTATTGATTCATGATTTATTAAACTTATCAAATTACACCATTTTTTGTTTAAAACAGTTTAGTCTATTGTCCAATGTATTCTTTTATTCAATATTCTTATTCAACTCAACTGATAGATTTCATATTTATTTAGAATAAAATTCTAAGTGAATTACTACAAACAGTCGGATCAAATTTGTATGTATTGATTGAACATGAGTGCTGGATGTTTTTGGTATAAACTCTTGTAACATAATTAGAATCACCATATGCGTGTACATCTAAACATACGTACACAGTGAATAATGTATATGAGGACTATTCTGTCTTCAAAAACATCATCATATCGAATATCCGAAGTTTTAGATTTCATGAATATCAAAAACAGTGTGTGAGTCATTGTTTAACTGTTGATTGAAGACTTAAAAAACATGCAGGTTGATGCTGTATAAAACAATTAGATACATTTATAGTCTGTTTTGTATTCTACCGAAATTAGTTGCTTTTAAATGATTCTAAACTAAAAACACCAACCGGATAGATTATTAAATCAGTTTTTTAGTGTGTAGATATACTTCGGTAGACAAAGTGTTACCAAATTACTTTGTCTGTAATTTTGTATGTATTATATAGATATATACAGCTTACTTTTCCATTGTCTAATGAATAGGTAGTTAACAAGAAAATCTTATTTACATCTATACAAACGAATTCGTTGAATTCCACAAGTTGTGCTTGATCATTGTAATACATGTTTGAGCCAGTGTTCATTACCTTCCTTCTCTACAGATTAACAGTACCTTATTTCAGATCTAGTTTATAATAAGAAATATTAGACTTATTACCTATTAAAAAGTCTGACTCATTTAATATTCAAAGGGTTTTGATGGCAAGTTCCATTGTATGAAGTTTTTCAGTGGCTAGAAGATTGTTTTAAGGTTACCTGAAAGATTATAACTATCAGCTGTCATTTAGAATGATGATAAAGCATTGAAATTTCCAGAAGTTTTCTGACGATCGATATTCATTCAACTTAGTATTTGTTTAATTATATATATATATATATATATATATTCATTTTAGCTCAATTTTTAGATTTCAACATGTAGACTACAGATGACTGCTCTCGATGAACTTGTAACTTGAAACTCTCATTGTCAAAGGAAAAAAAGGTGAAAGAGGCGTAAGTCGGTTAGTATGATGGATCGATTTTATTTACATTCAACAAGTCTTGAGTAGATTTCTATCACCAATCTTATGAATCCTTTATAATTTCACAGTTTATTACTTTCACTTAATCATATGGGAATTTCTGAATTAAATTTGAAAAATGAAGACACAATATTATTGCCAAGATTATGAGTTTACTGTTGAGGTAATGTAGACTGAAATAAATATTCTTAAAAGACAAATGTTTGTGACAAACAATCATATCAATAAGTCATGCCAAATAATGACTATTCTATCATCCGATAATTTAAATTATGTTCTTTCTCTCTTTCTTTCTTTTTTTATCATTTCGAAAATTTCACATCAACTGGAGTAAAATCGAACGGAAGTAATTCGTCTAATCTATTTGAGGTTTTTAATAAAGTTTCGTTTATTTAGCATGCATTTTGAAATCTTATTTTATTAAACGAGAGTAGTTTGAAGAAAATCTTGCTTTTTTTCTGCCTAAAAATGAATAACCAAGGAAAAAATAACAGAACTTATTGATTTGATACAGTAATTATGTAGTAAGTAAATAAAATCAAACTGACAGAGTAGGGAGATGAGTGAAAAGTTTCAAGGTCATTTTTAAAATCTCTATTCCGGACATGTTCTTAATATATATATCGATACATCTGAGTTTTACTAATGCACAATTAATGTAATCGACTTGGTTCATTTTGAATACCCAAAATGATGAAAAACACTTCCAAATATAATGATAATCAATGTTTTATTTTCTATAGATAAACGACTTGCTCATTTAAATAGGTAAGAAATAAGATCATCGGATAGAATTACTTACTTAGCAAGAAATTGCTTGGTAAATAGTTCAGCCCTAGATGCTGTTATTTATACTTAAGAAACATTTATGTACCAAAATGAATTTCACATATGTTAATTACATCAAAATATTTATCTACTTTCGATATGTTAATGTGATCAGTACTAGTTGTAAAAGAAATCATCTCTATGCACATATATTTATATTTTATTTTATAGTTTGATTTTGTATCACATAAACTTAAAATGTTTCGATGTAATGATGAACCTTGGACTAATGAGTATGAATCCTAAAACGGTTGATAAACCAACAAAGTGACGGTATCAGTTAGTGCTAAGGTGAAAGTATATAAGTGTTCAATGTTATCTAGTTTCTTTTGATTGCCCAACTGTTGTCAGCTTATGACTGAAATTATATATTAGTTGAACAAATCACGAAAACTGTTATTCTTGTTTTATTTAGTTCATGAATCATTACTTGTCTAAGGTGTTTTCCGCAGATTAAAGGATCAACTACCCTTGTCAATTGTTGGCATTCATTGCATACACCATTAATAGTAAACATGATCTAAATGAAAATCTATCCTATATTATTAATTTTGATAAAAATACAAAATCCCACTGTTAACCGATTCTTAATCACAGAGATGTGATCTTCTAAATTTCTTGAGTGATTTTCTTCAGTTCACCAGACAACTATCATGCAACAAGCACGAATATCTCTAATAAGGAAATCATATAAGGCTTGTTACAGTTTTTATTGATGTTTAAATTGAAACATCACTAATCTGTAAGCTAATTGTTGAAACAAAAGGCAACTCATTCACTAATGATTGACAATTTATATGCAAGCAAAACATGTTCACTTATGATCTCAGATTTTATTTCATTGGATACTACATTTCACGTTAAAGGAAAGATACTGTATGAAAAACATTCAGTCCATAAATTTTCTGACAAGACGACCAGTGGAAAGATGGAAACTGGAAAGCGGTTCTATTATTGGTCAACTCATGATTTTTATCAAACTCAACAGTTGCCAATCATGGTAATTATGTTTATTTCTTACAAAAATGAATATTTTTACACTGCAAAGTTATCCAACAACATTTTACAAGGCTAATTTTTAGCCTCATTAGTTAACAATTATTTTGATGATAACAGTCTGAGTCAAGTTCATGCTACCACCCTCCTTGCAGCTTCGTAACCTCAACTTATCGTGTATTATTATTATTATTATGCCTGTAACCTTTCAAGGAAATTTAAACAGCATCCATCTCTATTCAACAATTCATACCTTATTCATGTTATTCTACGTATATTACGTGATTCTTGATTTTCGCGATTACATTACTATCATTCTCACCATATGTGATTTTTATTTATTTTTTTCTACGTAAAAACGTATTCCAGCACAAACAAACTTAAATTCACATACCTTAAACCTGACCACTTCGGTATAACTATTTTGGATATATATATAACTCTAGGAACTGAAGAGAATTTATTGAAAAGAATATTCTTTGTTCATATTTTAGTATTTTAGAATGATGGGAATTGTTCAGCGAGTATTTATTTTTACTTTACTACATGAAAGAATTATTAGATAAAATGAGGTACATAAAAAATTCGATGTGAAAATATGCAATTCATCCCATCTATCAGTGAATGAATTACAAATACAAACACTTATTGTATCAAAAGAATTAGCTTTTTTAAAAATAAATCTTCATTTAGTTTGATATTTGTATATAATAATTTGTATTGCATTCGGTTAGCTTTACTAAAAAAACCCATTCAGATTAGGAAATTTGAAATGAATTCATTAAACATCTATTGAAATAGATTCTTAAAAGTTAATAATTAACTTACCTTGACCTTTAGTTTTAATAGGTCCTAATTCAAGTGCAGAACTCATACCTTCCGATCCAACAGCCATTATTCGAATACGATATGTTGTACGTGATAAAAGACCATGTATAATGTATTCATAAATTTGTTGCATAGGATATAAATAATTAATAGATACTTTATTCTGTTCCCAATCTGTAAACGGAAATGCTGACCATTGCACTAAATAATGTAAAACTTTTGATGGTTTTTCAGTTCTCATCAATGTATTACTAAATCGACTTAAATATTGTGATACATTATTATTGTCTAAAACTCCATGAGGTGCTAACCAACGTATACGTATACTAAATGAATCCAAAATGCTTAATTCATGTAGGATAGGTGTTCCAGGAACTGAAGGAAAATGAAAATAAAAGAGTTTAAATGTAACTATTTTTTGATTGGAATGATTACTTTATAAATAATAACAAGAATCATTGAATTGGAGTGATATGCTAAAGTAATTATTATAATGTCAACTGGACAAAAAACTAGTATATCTTGATAGTTTCATAAATATGATTTATATTACAACGGTTCCTAACAATAAAGGAGATTGATAAATATTTCTATGATAAAAAGAATTGTTACATGTTTCTCAATGATACATTATTGATTGGTAAGCAGAGACAGATAGGGGCTAGCAGTAGAATCCAGACTTTAGGTTTCATAATATTCGAAAATCGTCAAGTGGATGAACATACACCCCAGTGGTGATGTCTAAGGGAATGGTATCAGGTTTGAACTTGGGCGTAATCGATACAAATCGGGAGAGAATATTGGTATCAGAAGTGTGGTGATAATAGAATGAATGAAAAGTAACAGCGAAAATTGAAGATTTAGGAGGAGGTGTAGAACCAATGTTAAGGTGTTACTGACATCGATTTTGAGCCGTATTAACAAGGGTTTCCAACCGTCGGCTATGATGAGCCGTCAACTATATTCGTCTATAGTGCTCAGGCCAACAGTCAATAAATGCACGAACTTATATCATGTTTTAGTTCGGGATGTCCTAAAATTTAGTAACATACTTTTAAGTTATTTATCATAGCATGTTCAATTACTTCTCAGCTTTGTATAGATAGTATATATTCCCAACATGTGGACTAGGGAAGTATGATCACTTTATTAGGTAATTTAATATCTTCAGGCTGATAATGGTGGTCTAACATTGATCGAATCATGGTTTCAAAAATGTGTAACTTAACAATCTTCACAACCCCGTAATGCAAAACCAAGTATGTTGTTCGCCATCACGTCTCTTTTATTTTTGTAATGCGTTTTAATTTTCGTAGATAAAACTGATGAGTAGTTTGTTGTCTATAAATTTCATAACGATTATGTGTTCTGATGATTATTTTCTGTGACCAAACATCTAATGAATAAAGCGCGTTTTATTATAACTTCACCAACCGTTCTCGGAAAGATAGTCATTTTGAATGAATCAACTGATAGACCGGCGTCTTTTAGATGGCCACATAGAAGCACAATAATCGAATTCAGGATAGATCAATAACATTTTCAAATGATTTTTCCAACTTTCACTGACAGTAATTATCTTCTTAGATAATGAAGTTTATTTTTCAAAGAAGGATTTGTAAGAAAACGTTTACAGGTCAAAGCTGTCTCATGGAATACTAAGCCTATGGGATCACAACATTACTCATTATCAGAAAGTGGATTTAGTTATCATCATTTAGAAGTAGATTGAGTTATTCTTTTAAACTATCGATACTGTAATTTTATAAACTGTAGATAGATAAATAATTGATACGGAGGAATTGTAATGAGATTGTTATAGATTATATCCTCAAAAAACTTTTATATCTTATTATTCAATGTTACAGCAATCTTTAGATAGCTTCATCAATCTTATTACTAACTTATTACTTCTTTGTTAAAGCAGATATTAGAAGTTATTCATTTTAGAAACAGTTTATACCTATGAAAAAATGTATTCAAACTTATGATGAAATAATTCACTGTAATAGATTATCAAATTTAATTTTATATGTACGTTGCAAGACACATATTTTGGAAATGAACTGTGTTTATGTATCAAGTCATTCCAGAGAGTTAGTGAAAAGGTTAAATGTGATTTGTTTGTGGTAATATTTCACTACATCAAGTGTAATCATTATTCACTGTCTCTTTTCCCTTCCCTTTAACACTGTCCATAGTAATATACTAGGTTGAATAACCCAAGAATGACCTTCAGTGTTACTATCATTAAAGAATGTGGAGTGTTGGTATATGAATGATACATAAGTGTATTCATCTGCATAGTAAACAGATTCATTTACAATTTGTTTATTTAGATTAATACTAAAGGTCACTCTGAGGGAGGTAATATATTCACTATTTTTTTTCCTCTGTTCACGTACTTGTTAATATAATCAAAAGTAGGTTTGTAAATGGAATACAGAAATATGAAAGTGGAGGTGTACAACTAAATGATTAAACGATCAACAATATGTAAATATGCTTAAAAATCCAATTCATTTGTAATTATTTTGCCAAAAATACCATACTCTTCAACCTGAATATGAATCAGTTTTAAGACAATACGAAAACTTATAATGATACTGTATGTATATGATTAAACGGTGGGTAACTGAATGAAAATAGTTTTACATTTCTGTATCATTCGTATACGTTTGTCGAATTATAATTCCTTTATTAATTCATCGAATTGATTTCTCGTCATCTTGAAAGACATGAATTTATTGTTTAGCAAATTTTTATGATTTATAACGTCATGGAAGTATGAATGTTGTCCATCGAAAATTTTTAGTGTAGTTGTTCATATCTATTATTAAACATTAATAGATTATATCAACCAAAACTAAACTTTGTGAAAATTTTATTTTGAAATAATCTCAGCGTTTGAAATAATCGACAATTCTAACGATTCATCCAGTTATCTTGTCTAGGACAATCTGAAGTCCTGTGATTTTGAGAGTTTCAGACTAACATCAGTCATATCCTTTAACATTCTGTAACCATTTTAGTCTAAGAGACTACTCATGACCAACCAGTTTCAACAGAGGGGTGTATGATTTCGATATTTTGTTTTGCAAATTTAAATCGTACAGGGATAATTATTTTTCAAACCTCTCCAGATGTACATTGTTGATAAGTGACGTCTGGTTAGGAAATTAGGTCTCATATTATCTGTCAGTTACCATTTTATATTTCATATTTGACAGAAACCAAAGAACAGTAACCTTATTAGAAAGTAAGGTAAATTATTTTTTTTCAGTAACCTGAATCTCGACTAATACACAAAAGCAAATGACGAGCATAACTTCCTATCCTGAGTATTTTGACTACTAGACACTAGTCATTGGTTAGATTGGGGCAACAGTAATACAGGTTGCATATCCAACTGCGGACCGGTTAACCGGTAACATATTGCTGCGCATAAATAATTTTTAACAATGTCGATTAATTTCACATGTAAGATGGAGTAAGTCATATGAATTCGAAATGACTAAAGAACATAAATAATTTATTGCTTACCATTACTATCAGTTTGCACTTTAATTTGTGCTGCGATTCCAGTGCCATATTTTGTACGAGCAGCTAAAGAAATGTGATAAGTTGAATTTGGAATTAAATTCTCCATCAAATATTCCGTTAAATCCGCTGACAAAGTGATCTCTGTTGGTTTTTGTTTACTTTTATCCAAGTTATTATCAACAGCTAATCGATATCTCAACAAATAATCTTGTAAATTAATCTTTACTGGTAAATTAGGTGTAATCCAACTCAGATGTATTTCTTTAGGATTAAAGCTTAAACCAATGAATTCACGAGGTTGAGATGGAACTAAATGAAAATTAATTTAAAACAATCGGCAAAAGAAAATAAACAATGAACAAATTAACAAGTAATCCATGATAATAATATTTATATAAAATATTTTATGTTCTTATTGTGCTTATAAACATGTTGACTCATTGCATTGAATAAATTTTTTACATTCTGAAGTGTTATTGAAACATGTGAAATTCTCAATAAATTGTTGTTCCTCATTCTGACAAAAATTCTATCTAATTAATCGGTAACTTCATAGGTTTTAAGCTAGTATTGTAGTGAACGGGAACACAGGTGGGGCAATCGGATTGTATTTAACGAAAATTACAGAGTTACTCAGTAAAATCGGAAAACCATATCGTAAATCATTCATTTGCAAAATATCAGTCCATCATATCGAATTGGACTGTTCCTGTTGCAAAACATCAATCCATTGTCACTATTCATGCAAATTCCATTGTGTTCTAACTCTTCCTTTCTTGATATTCCCCCCTCTTCTGCTGCCAGACATTACGTTGACACTTACTCATATACTGCTTATAAGTTGCTCACACCACAGTATTACCGATAGTTCGTAGGATCTGAACTAATCTGTTACTGTGAAAGTGTAATCAAAAACATAATTTATGGAGTATGTGACCGTTAGTTTGTTGAAATTTTGGTCAGAAATAAAGGCTTGTTAACTATTATTTCTAAATATTTAATACCACAATATCAGTAATGAAATACAGATTTTATCTATCTTGTATTGATCACAGTTGTTGCTAAAGCTTGAAGGTTAGAAATGGGATATTAGGATGAAATTATGTGTTTACTGACTGAGATGGCTGGGATATATTTTACGTTTGCTGAACCACAAGCTATCTGCAAACAAAATATTGTCTTCAGAAAAAAGCAGTGGAAGCCACACCAAGATATGTTTTCAGTTCATTAAGTTCTTGACCATCAGACAGCTGTGTTGCTAGATACAGATTCCCGCCTTAGGATCAAAATCAGTTGTTTCCGAAGACGTCGGGTGACGCATCTTGAAGTCAATGGAAGTAGCGCGAACATTTCAACTCCGTTTCAAACTCTAGATCCTAATTCCAAGCAGTAATCCAAACAAAACTATATTTCATTTTTTTCTAGTTTTTGATTTTTATAATTGCCAATGATTCTACTGTGATCGATTTTTTCATCGCCTAAATTTTATCTTCTTGTAACGACGATATGATGTAAGAAATGAGGTAGATGCACATTTATACTTATCCGTTTGTTACTCATAGTTTCGCGGTTTTCTTGTCTCAGTCATATATTCTGTAAAGGTAACTGAAAAATTACATGGTGCTTTAGAAAAATAAAGTCAGTTTATGAGAACGTTAGTCATGAGAACAAACCAAGCAATATCTTATCACTGGTTTAAATGGCTAGGAAAGTTTTTCTCAATATGATAACTTATAATTTAAAAGTAAAGCGAGTCAGAAACTTTTAATGCAGTTATATTCATTTATGATATAATACTAAAAACTGGTTTTCTCTGAAGATTCACCACTTATCGTATATAGTACTAATGTGCCATAAAATCGACAGTAACTTTAATTTTTATCTAATTTGACGGACCAAAATATTTTCGGAAATTATTTTGTAAGATTTAATATGATTAACAAAGTGATGCACATTTAATCGCTTCAACACAAGAGTATGTAATCAAATATTTCAACAGAAATTAGGTAGTAAACTCAAATTTGGTCAAAAAAATTATTTTAATGACAATTTTTATCGAATTCGAACAAAGCAAGAACGATCATATTTGTGGAGTATAATGAATTCACGCTACTTCATCGCTTTATCTTCGGCTGTATACAGTCGATAATGTGTAATTATTGCCAGTTATTAACAGTGTTTAAATGAATTCGTCAGTCAATAATGAGTAGGTTGTGTGTAGTGTGAAACTAGTTAACAAATTAATGGTTTTAAAAATAGGGTCATTTTATACTTGTTTAGGGTAATAGTTCACAAATTCCAAAATAATTTTATCGGTCATAATAACAAAATTTCAGATGTTCAGCAATGAAAATTAGGCTCAACAAATCATGGTTAGTTAACAAGAGATAAATTTAAGGCTAACTACTGACAACTGTTTCAACTAGGAGGCGTGCTATTGGTGCTTTATAAGGCACCCTTCTCCACTAAGATGTAAGTTTTTAGAATATTCTCAGTACAAAAATTAGGAGTCCATCTTTTTGTTTCTTCAATGTACACACTTTAACATTCACATGTAAATTAATGCATGCAGTCGAAATTAATATTTGATGAATATTTATTTATTTTGTATGCGGTATTGAATAAACTGTCGTGGATGGTAGAATAAACTTCACAGTAAGGAAGGAATTAGCTTTCTAAAGTTGTGGTAAGCCTTTGAATGTCGTTGTTCATCATTTGGTTATCTATGAATGAAAATGAAATAGAAACATTCGACTGTTCGTGTTCATAGTCTATCCTCCTACTTTAGTATTCGGCACTATATTTATGGACAATCAACTGATGGTATTCATTTTCTCACAGACTGTTTTTGGTAAGAGTATATTCTTCCCACGGGCTTTCCTGATAAACTTAACGTTCTAGCTCTTGGACAGAGCTTTTCACTAACTCATAGTTATTACTAATAGAGCAAAATGCTGTGATAGTTTCGGGTTTCTTTGACAAGTCCCATCATATCTTCTAGAAATGCTCCAAACGGGGAAATTGAACAAGCTATTTGTTGCGGTTACAAACTTAATTTTAGATTGACTTGATTAAAAATATTCAAGTATTTTATTTGTATTACTTATAGCCCTACACAAAATAAAAGCAACATTAAAGTACTTCATTCAAACTAAAGGATTTTATCAAATTAACTCCGTATAAAACTCAATCTAAATCTTATTTTCGTTCAATAGACCTATAACACAAACATTATTACGAAAAGAAGTAAATTAACTTAAAATGTACCATTAAAAACAAAGCTATTTACAAAAATCTTTTAGTCAAGTAGTCTGCTTCATTATCATTTCGTAGGTGTACGAAATAGATCACGTCAGATGAATTAGAATTTCTTGAATTTGCAAAACTATGAAATCTCAGTCGAATTAATTTCTAGTTAAAAGTTTATACTGGTCTTATAAAACTGGAAATCTGAGAAGGATAACTGCATGATTGTCAACTACTGAATAAGTTTATTTATCATACTAACAGTAACTGTAAAATGTATGCTAATTCACAGTTTGTTTATTGAAGTAGATCATTAAATTATAATTGAAGTGAAATGAAAAATAAGCAAATAATAATAAAAAAAACTAAAACTGTGCAGTGAAAATAAATTAAAAAAAAGTAAAAGAAATAAAAATCATCTATGGAGAAATCATTTGAAAAAGAAGACAACATCACCAACAAATGTGCTTTGAAATCAAATGATTATCAGTGTACAAGATAAAGCATATAGAAATCAACTTCATGATCGTCATGGCAAATAAAACTTTTTCAAAAAAGATTAAAATACCAATTATCATACAATTCAAGTTGTCTGATGAAATAAAACAACACTTGTCGTGGTAAAAGATCCCTCATGTTTTTTCTTGATAATAATAATAATGATGATAAATATAATGCTGGAGTAAGCATCTTGACTACTTGAATATTTGTGCAACAGTAAATGGAAGTATTGTCAGACAGCCGATTGGTAACTCAATTATCTATTCTTTATCGATATTCGAAATCCATCTTTGACGTTACAGTAATGTCACCAGTGTATCAATCGATAGTAACTGACTGAATGAAAGTAGATTGAAAATAAAGAGATGGGTGTATTTAAAAGTAAGTTAGTCGGTGCCTGACTCATCAGTGTTTGCCTATTTGTGATACTAAGTGATACTTGTCAGAATCTTACAGTGAACATTAGTTTATTCTTATTTTAAATATACCTTGTTAATGAGTATCGATCTATTTTTGAATTTGTGTCTGTTTCCAATTTTCTTATCGTTTCTCTTCTTCCACGTAGAGTGAATTGCATGACAAATGATTTCTTCCCGATCAAAATGAACGTGTAACTTAATTTATGTAGAAATTAATCTTTGTAGAAGGTTGTCATGTATATCCAACAATAGTGATGGAATTTCGCTGAGGCCGCTTCTTTATCTAGACAAAATGATGATGGATTACGGAATTTCAATAACTGTATATAAACCATCACACCTAACAACGTAACTAATCAATGTCTACTGATACGCTGCCTAAAAATCTCAGATAACGTGTTTCCACAAATGAACTTGGTGAGTAACATCAGTTTCCTCTTATCAAATATTTTTAGTTGAAAATAAATTATTCAAATCTGTTGGGGACGTTAGATCCCTAGAACTCACTTAATAAAGGTTCTACTTTTGGATATTTTATGTCTTCGTGCATAAGTCACTATCATTGGTTGATGGATTATTTAAGTACGCTATTTTTGTGGCTCTCCCAAGGGCGTTTCTACCAATGATTTGTCTGCTTGTTAACCTCGTAATTTCTGGGTGCTTTTAGAATACACTTTCTACGCCTTATCAAGACTTTTTGGGACAACGGATTAGAATAACGCATTGTCACTGAGTCATCGCTTCGTCCCATTTACCGAGTAAGGTGAACTCGTAATAATGTTCTATCATATCATTTGACAAGCATAGCAAATTCCATAAAGTTATCCGCCTAATTATGAATTCCATTTCAGTATAACGTAGAAGGCGGACAAATAGTTCATCAAATTTCATTTTATTATATACGTAATTTTGGATTATAACTCGTAACAGAAAAAAACTCCCAATTAAGGGCCTCTGTAATGAACATAATGCTACAATTTGGAATTTATCAATATTTGATAAACTAAACAGACAAAACGAATAAAATGTTATTCTCTAATTTATCAGCAATTAACATTAGAGTTCAAAGTGAACAGATAATTTTCGTCCATCTATAAGCGAAATTATTACAATTTATTATTTCACTGTTTTCTTTTATTTGATTTAAAAAATTTTTTTTAATCATTTAAACAAAAATAAATTATCATTCAATTTGGATTGAATGAAAATCAGCCGGTAAATAAATAAGTAAATCAAATAAATACACAAACCAAAATATGAAAAAAACAAACGAATTCATGACAGAGTAACAATTAAACAGAAAATAAAATAAATATATATATATGGAAATTAATCGTTTTTTTTTAAAAATTTGTGACTGAATAAAGATGGTGTAAATGAGGTAATGTCTCGTAAACCAGGTAGAATGTTTAGAGTAAAAAAAAAAATAAACTTGAAAAAAAATATTTGGTTTACTTCTTTTTTTTTAAAAAAAGAAATTATTTAAATTGATATTTTACTTTTTGCCTTTCTTTGTAGTAAGAAATTATTTGTTTAAATGTTGGGGAAAAGATGAACTTACTTACTTAGTTTAGTTTCTTTACTAGAAACTTGATTTTTACAGGTCAAAAAAAGAGAATAGAAGTGAAAACGATAGAATGAATGATGTTTTAAAATTCATTCGTTTATACTACTACTACTACTACTACTACTACTACTACTACTACTACTACTACTACTACTACTACTACTACTACTACTACTACTACTACTACTACTACTACTACTACTACTACTACTACTGATGAGAAGCTTTTATTTGTCAATTGTTAATTGTGGTATATTTTTCATCATTGAACAAAAAAGGATACTTTTTCTCGTAGTATTTCAGCATGATCAAAAAGATTTGTTTTTTATTGTTGCTATAAGGTCATGGATGTTCACTGCTGATAAGTATTCAACTAGGTCAAGGCAATTGTCTAGTGATTCTTAGTTTTCAATCTTTTCTTGATAAAAGTAATTTTTAGTAGTGAACACAATTCATAGAATGTTGAGTATTCATCTAAGCGAAATATCGATTTTATGATGAGTCAGGTTTCGAGCATGGTATCATAAATGAAATCTGATGGTTTTGCACTATTTCAAATAAGACTCTGACTAAATACCAATACAATCGTCGCTAGATCCGAAAGTTATGTATGGCTATGAATAATTTACGAAGCTGTGTTAGTTTATGACAAGAAACCTTCGAAATTGGAGTGATTTCTTCAACTAACCTGATAAACATGTCATATATTGATTTCCTCCATATTACAGTGGGTTGTTAATAATTTATCGATCCGTACTAAATTGAATATGGACTCAATTGGATTGTTTGAAAACGTATTTAGTTAATGGTATTCACTAATAATTTAAAATATAGATACTGACCGACTGCGAGGAATTTTGATACTTTTTATCGTTTATTGAATTTTAATTACCTGATTTGAATTAGGTTTCAGTTACAAGACTGATAAGTGAAAAGAGAATGATAGTTTTTAGACGCATTGATTAAGAATTCATGAATTTTATGCATCTGACTTTTAAGAGAACAGTATAATATCATTTCTGGGTGTAACAAATTTCATCACTCATAAGCGAAAGAATTTTTTATGATGACAAAAGGATTTGATTTTTAAGAACAGTTCATTTTATGTTGAATGATAAGATAAAGTGAACTTCTGATTTTAATTATAGACAAATGAAAACTCTCATAGTTTCGGATAGTCAGTCAATGTTATTTGTTAATTGTATATCATTGATAGAAACTTGATGCTGGCACTCAAACGTTTTTGTTTTTAGGTTAAATATTTTCCTTTAGTAATAGTTCTAAATTTAGAGAGTGCTCTATAAGTAGTTTCGTCAGTTGACACTGTAGTGTCTAGTACTACTAGGATTTATTTTACCTTTGGGACGGATCAGCAAATTTATCTTTCCTAAATAGTTATCCACATATATTTTCACCTTGCCAGTTATTTACTTGTAACCTTACCAGTTTTATAGGAGTGTTTGTGTGTGTATTAGTTATACTTCCATCAAATTTCCAAAGCATATTTTTGACTGATTATGGATAGTGAGTCACACTTTATGGGTTATAAGTTGTTAGACTTACAGTCTTCACTTCATTTTGGTTTACTGCTTCTCGTCTTGATATTTGCTTGAGTTTACAAATGCCTCAAATAAATCTATTTAGCTTAATTTGTATTTGGCTTCTTATTACTGCCATTGATTAAACGGCTTTAGCCTAGGTGATGTATATGGAGTTTTAGTAGCACCACATACATTTGAGTTTGTTTATATTCAACTTGGTCAAAGCTTTTTATTAACTTATTTAACCGAGTCGTCTGTATAGCACTAATTTATATGTAACATCGGCTTTTATTATTGTCTGGTTTATATGAGCTATTAAAACTGAACATTGCTTACTGCCTACGCGTATATTCATCCTATTCACTTTAACGTCAGCCTCCCAAGTATTTTGTTGACTCATCCATTTTCCTACGTATATAGATGTACACTTTAATCCTATTAATTAATTCGCCCATACGCCCGCTTGCTTGACCTTCAGCACTCAAATATTGATTTTATGTTTGTGTGTTTGCGGTCTAATTGAGGTGTGCTAAATAAACGTATTCAATACTTTGTATTCCTCTTCTGATTTGTAAACTGTGAGGAGTTATTGAGTAATGGTTGTCTGGACGAGCAACATACGAAGTCTAAGAACATATCGAATAACGACCGCCACGAAACTAGTGAAGCACCGACCACTACAGAGTCATGGTATATTCAGTCATTTGTCCAATTAGGAGTCACGCGCCAGTAAAACTTATTAACTTATTAACTGAATTAATTCCTTTGCAACCAGGTGAATATGCAATAAAATTTAATTTAAAGCTGTTAAAAAGTTCAATATTCATTTATATGCATGAATAAAAAGTTGTGAAATCATGTTTTAGAATTGTTTTGGATCTTGTAAATTGTAAAATATAAAAATTATGTTATTTATAAAACCACAAATTCTACAGCCAAAATGATTTAATTACAGTTGATATGAGTTAATGATAAAACGGAATCTTATGAGAAAAATTAAATTAAATGAAAAAAATCGGAATATTAGCTTTCACTGTAGGACACCATGGTAACTAATGGATTTCGATGAAACTCATTATAGAAAAGTAATTGATGATATATATCATATTTATTTGAATTTTACAGATTATTGATTTTTTTGACTCACTTTGTAATACCATCCATGTTTGAATTGTATTAGAATAATCATTTCAATTAGTAAAGTAGACAGAAATTGTTCAAGAGCACCTGCTATCACAAAATTTAATCTCAAGGCCAGCTATTGATCAGCTTCAACCAGTTAACATTTGAATACTGTATAATTAACATTTAAACTATGTGTCACATTTTCTTCATCTTATTGCAAATTTCATTAGAAAACAAGCTTATATATGATGAACTCATATTATGTAACAATGAACTCAGATCAATAACCTTAACGTCATAAATAATTGATATTTAGAATTTTTCAGCAAACGTAAGAGACTGTCAATATAAGTGTTCGAATGTACACAGTTGACACTGTTGATCATTGAACGTATTATTTGTTTTTATAACTTATATCACGTAAAAATTTCATATGATTTCGTTGTCAGTATTTATCATTATCAAAAAATTTATTTCGTTCACTTTTTAATGAATTATAAAATGTTACATTGGAAAAAAGTTAGAGTTAATTATTTTTTTATTCTTCATTAATTTAAATGTTAACAGCCTTCGAATTCAAACTATCCAGTATACATAAAAATAATTGAATTTCATAATTATCGATTATTTTTATTTTAAAAACAAAATTTATACTACTTATAAGTAACCTAAGAGATAGCTATAAAAAAATTAGTTATTTGTTTACTATTGATGTATTGTTTGTTCATTTTTGTACATTTTAATAATGAACTTACTTCCGAATTTGACTAATACTTGATAGGCATCAGTTAATGGACCTTCACCAGCAGAATTTTGAGCACTTACACGAATATGATAAGTTTCGGATGTGAACAATTTTTCCAGTTTGACACTTTCAAATTGTGTACCAATTTTTTGCCAGTGATTTAATGGAGCTTGTGGATTTCTATTGTAGAAAACATTATATCCCTAAAATCAAAGCAAAAAAAACTAAACTGATAAACTTATTATATAACCAAGAAATATTTAACTAGTAAGCATGAACTGAAAATAAATTTGTGTAGATTGGATCATCAAGAGAATCGTATCTCTCTTTAGTATCAGGTAATAATAATAATAATAATAATAATAATAATAATAATAACTGTACTACAGAAACGGCATACGAATTTATATAACTCATACTCATCATTTTAATTAACTGAGATATTTGTTTATGATTTTGACAAACTGATAATCAAATGAATATTTGTAATCTGTAATAGTGAACTGTTTGTTTGACTTTCATAAACCATTAAAATACTTATCAATGTTTGATAAAATATTCCTAAAAGCAGAAAATAAGTGACCAGTAGCCATAAATTAGGAATTCAGTAGTATGATTTTACTTGATCATGAATTTTTATTTACAGTGTCATGTATCGTGTTCACTATCTTACAGTTGATTTCCATTCCATTGATTTAGTCTTATCACTTTGTTTTTGAATGTTTTGTATTATTTCTATTTGTCAAGAATACTCAGATGAAAAGGAAAAAATAATTATTATAGCTGCTAATCAGTTACTTTTAATATTTAGAATTTATAAATATTTGATTTGTGTTTGATAGAGTAGACAGGTTAAGAAATGGTAAAAGATAAGAAAATCTATTTTTTTATAATAGATAATCTTTGTACTCCAGTGAAATTTATCAGAAATGATTTATGCGTTTGGTAAAAATATATTGCATAAATGAAGTTTGATATAGAATTCTTGTTACGCACGTCTCTATGTTTGCTTGAAGCTATTACGAGTTCACCTTAGTCGATAAACGCGAACGAGACAATTACCAGAGTCCAGGTAGGCTATCTTGAATCCAAAACTGCGAAACAGAAGTCTTGATAAGTGTAGAAATTGTATTCTACAACAACAGCCAGCACACAATGAAGATATATATATATATATATATATATATATATATATATGATAATCGATACTGTAATCGAATCATTCAAATATAAAATTATGGTCAATACAGTTATCGAATAATACAAACGAAAGTACAATGAATGAATGATGAGATGCTACAATCTCAAGGTCAACTGATCGGTTCCTATACTGTAAATTTAATAGGATATAACATTCGTTATTGTAACAAGTTCATTCATTTTTATGAAGAGTAAACAATGTGTTCAGCAGTCAGTACATCATTCAGTTCTTGATTTAAATGAGATTATATTCTTCAAAAAATTTCCATTGAATGTTGTAGATAAGACGTTTGCCATGAACTTTCCATTGCAGAGTTATGTGAATTACAAGAGTGGATTAAGTAACAACATAGTTTACATCAGTTTTACCGTTAAGACAATTGTTACTAAATATTACATTTTATACCCTTAATTAAATATTTTTACTTCCATTTATTCTAAACACCAATATATAACATTAATAGCATCTGGTAAGTTGAGAGATTCTTTATTAACTATAATTATTATGCATATCTAATTATGTTTATGCATTTGATTTACAGAAAAGATTACTCCACACCATAAAGATTTAGAGTGACATTAAAACTTATTGTAGTTTTCATCTGTCACAGTTAGCATAACGGTTATTATTCTCTTAAAAGTACAATAATCACATTAGTAGAAGAAAAAGTAACTACGATTAATTTCTTCGATTACTTTCCGATGTTCATTAAAATTTAGAAAGTTTAAATCGATACTTTTACGAACAAGTTTAATTAACCTGAAACGCTGGTTCGATAATCGATGGATTCAGGTTTAAGCTTTCAGATTTAGATAGAAACATGAAAACATTTTTTCAGTACTCATTATGGACAATATTTTATTGAATATTTTAGTTAAATAATTTAGCCTACTTACGAGTAGATAAGTGGATATACAAAATTATAGAAAGCGTCATTACAAAAGTCTTAATTTAGCCACCAATGAAGAATAAGAAACAGACAATCAAAAAAAGTGTTGGGAAAACTTAGTAGTGACTCTTCAAATCTGTTAATGTGAGAAAACAATTTCCTGATCCTAAATATTGAGTGAAGTAAAACAGATCGTGACAACGACTGTAAAAATGAGTAATTTCCCGAAACTGTTGTTAATAGAAGTAAAATTAAACATTTTTTTTCGATAAGATTGTTTCTTCACAGATACAGACTAATTTTCATGCAAAATCGCTCTCTCTCTCTCTCTCTATATATATATATATATATATATATATATATATATATATATATATCAGTGGGTTCAATAATATGATGATAGTGTTTAGAAAACGTTTATTTGGGAAGTTGGTTTAATTCGTGGACTATATTCATTACAAACTGATCTCATTTGGACAGTTGTTTGTTCCTACCATCAGTCTTAATTGCAACCTCTCTAAAACTATAACCTAGGATTTTCAGCGTTAGTGAGGTGTTTTTTGTAATTAAAATACAGGGTTACAATTAAGTTGTTCATTTTAAAAATATTATTCAAGAGATTACTAGCCCAACTATGGTTCATTGTCTCACTGCCTCATTTCATGAAGATGACTGTATAGGATTTTTAGTTGGGGGTTTCATGATATGAACCGTAACCCCAAAGAAATAATTAGAACTGTTTGTATTATTTCTCATAGCATACGTGCATCGTTTCTTTGAATTCGTAGGATTAATAGATCTTCTCTATGCTAATTTGCCTTTTGAATGCAGAAAGGTGTTTCTCAGTGTGAATCTTGAGGAATAAAATAAACATTCCGTTATCCTTATTTAATCATCACAACGTAAGTTCAAGAAGATTACATTTAAACAGTGAGAATTTAATTTAAAAAACTTACAATTATCTTCCCATTTGCTTCTTTTGGTGGTTTCCAACTCACTAAGACAGAATCATCTGAAACGGTAACTGTTTCGACTGAATATGGAGCTGAACTAGGGGCTACAATCGGAATAAAAAGGAAAATGTTGATAATAATTTGTAAGTTCGATTATGAAAAACAAATATTTAGTACTGACAGTATTATTATTATTTCTGTTAGAAATCAACTTATTTTTAAATAAATGTAGCCTAAATTTTCCTCAAACCTAATCGAACATTTGTGCTAAAGAGGTCAATTTTTACGTCATATGAGTATAAATAATGAAACATTGACTATTAAGATGTCACTTATGTTCTGCATTTAGTTTAAGTTTTTACATGGGATTTAGAATTAGCGTAGATATAAAAATCTATTACTTAAAATATTACAGACTATGTGCTATACTTAGATTAAAACAAACATGTCATTAAATAAACCGTTTTGATGATTGACAATTTTACAGAGGAATGAAAATGAAAATTTCCTTGATTTAAAGACACTATGATTAGATTTGATTTGATTAATATTTTAAAAAGCTAAACTAAATAAAATAAATGTTGCGTGATATGATATTAGTTTTAAATTTAACCTAAGCACTCAGAATTATGAATTGTTAGCCAATGGTCTAATCTGTAGAGATCAATAATTATTGGTAGGATATTATTCGTCTGTTTTCAAACTTATCATAATTAATATAAAAGAAATAAATGAACGTTACAGACAATGAATAATGATTCTTCAAGATCGTGTTCAGTCCTTTTTTTGTTCAATAAAACCCAGCAGTAGTAGTAGTAGTAGTAGTAGTAGTAGTAGTAGTAGTAGTGTAGTGAAGGAGAGAGCAGGTGAGGGAAACCGAATTGTATTTATCGCAAATTACAGAGTTAATTGGTAAAATAGGAAAACCATATCGTAAATCGTTAATTTGCAAAATAACAATCCATCATAACGAACTGGACTGTTCCTGTTGCAAACATCAATCCATTGTTTGACATTTCACTGTTCATGCGTTTCATACAAATCCCATTGTGTTCCCGCTCTTCCTTTCTTGATCTTCCGCCATCTTCTGCTGCCAGACATTACGTTTTTACTCGCGTCATATACTACTTATAAGTAGCGCGCACCACAGTAGTGGTAGTAGTAGTAGTAGTATGGAATATTAATTCGAACTCATTTTCCATACATTTGTTTAGTTAGTTTCTTTCACAATAAGTAGTTTGATTATTAATTTTTAAATTTTTTCTGCTTTTGAGTTAACGCGATGCATTTCTAATGATTTTTCGAAATAAAAAGCATTATTCAAATGTACATTTTAGTCTTGTTCATTAAAAAAAACGAGAATAGTTGACAATTAAGGAAGATTATTATTCGTTTTTTTTTCAATTTTTTTTTCTTTACACAAATAAAGATTGAATTTAATCAGAAATACACGAAAATTAAATAATTGCTTCTTTTGCTAACATAAGCTATAGAATAACACTTTTGTCTTTTTTTAACAAATACATATTACAAAAATGAAATATATATAAATATACATATATGAAGAGGCTATTATATAATGTAAATACGTTGTTTCATCAAAGGAAATAACAAACACATAAATCCAGGCACAATACGCGCCTGCTAAAAAAAAAAAACACTAAACTGAGAGTAAAATCACAACACAATGACAATCATCACGCTACTTGCTTTCATTGGACTCTAATGTGAAATTGTATATCATTATTATTTCCGTTTTGTGTAATTTTCATGCCTCATTACAAGCACTAGAACTAATGAAATTACTATTGCTGTTATTGTATAAATGAAGCTTGAAATGAATGATTCTAAATCTGTTTTCTATCATCATAAAAATCTTGTCACCTTAGCTATATTTTTTATTTGCTTGTTGGTCTAAATCAATCATATGTTTATTCACTCAACCAGTCTGGGGAAATATGTTTTGTTACATCCAAGCAAAGACAGGTTAGCACATACTTTAATTGGATGTATATATATATATTCTTTTTATAACTAAATTTCGTTTATATTTCTGGTTGTTTATAAATATATATATATATATATTTTCTTTCATTTCTTTTTTGATTATTTTGTCCACCTTCTATGTGAGTATGTGTGAATAAGAGAGAAAGCATAGAGTATAAGTTGCAATTTATTTCTATTAAATCCTATTATATGGACAGATACAACATCACATAGATCTAAAAAACTATACAATAGTCTTCTTTGTTTTTTCTTGTCATAATTTAACAAGTCCAGACATGCTTAAGCAGAAAGTGTAATCAAATTCTTTGACATTCAAATTATTGTCATTGTCACTGAAAACATATATTAGCACGTTTGATAAATTCTTTATGGGTTGAAAAATCGTTTTTTATATATAACCACATGATGAATGAATGTGACAGAATGGTACAAGTTATGACTAAAAGTTAACATCAACATAATTAATTTTTATCATCAGTTTGATTACCACGTATTATCAGGAAAAAAATTGACAAATGCCGGAAATAATAGGAAGAAATATCTATAAATTCTACATAAGTTGTCGAAGCGGTAGTAAGACGATATAAAAGTAGATGAAATTCAATCACAATCGTCACCTGGAAATAATGATCACTTTAATGATTAAAGTTAGAGATACGGACTCATCAATTCCTCTCTAGGTGATCTAGACATAATAGGCGATGCACATTAATTGAAAGTAATATTTTCAATTCATGCTCATAACATGAATGATCATTGATTGATAAATCTTAAATGGAGAATAAAATAGTTGTTTTTTTCAGTGCTTCCTAGCTTTTGATTGATTTATCAGTGAAGGTATTCGCAAAAAAGAATGGATTCTGATAATTAATTAACTAAACTAAAATAGAAATGATTCTGTACCAGGAATCGAGTTCAAGGATTCTGAGCAATCTGCATATTTTGAGCTATTTTAAATCTGAATTATAAGATTTTTTTACAAAATATGAATTAGAATATAAATATCACAGCTCGAGAGAACACATATTAACTTATTCTATGCTACATACCGATATTTAAAAATAATTTCGAAAGTGCTATTTACTCGAACAAAAATCAGACTGATGATATAAAATTCGAAATGATCATTTTAGCCCCTTCAAATGTATTTTACTCTCAATACAAGCACTTAAAAAAGTAATAATTTACTGAAATCAGTGCTTTGTGTTTGTTGGGGACGTTAGAACCTCAGAACTCATTTGAATAGGCCATAATTTTGTAATTTTTATTCTGAAATCTGGCGCTAGAGATGCTAACTTGACCTTCAGCTCACATTTATCTCTTGGTCAATCCTTAACTGTCATTGGTTGATGTATTATTTTAGTACGTTTTTTTGTGGCTCTTCCAAGGGAATTTCTATCATCTTATAAATAAGCTTGATTTGCGTGCTTAGACACCTCGTATTTTCTGAGTCCTTGTAGAATACATTCTCTAAGCCTTATCAAGACTTCTTGATCTGGTTAGCAGGGCCTCGGACAACGGGTTAGGATAGCCTATTGTGTCACTGAGTCATTGCGTTTCGTTCCGAATAAGGTGAACTCGTTATGGTTTCGAGCATATCAACTGACGGGTATATCAGTGTTTTATGTTCAACTTCATTATTTTACTGAAGCTAACACAGCTTTTGATTTTGATGACTTGATCATTCACTGGCTAACCTATTATTGCTTGACAAAAATGTTTGTTCTATGCCTAAACAAACTTTTAAATTGGTATCTAATACAACCGATGATTGAAATTAATAATGATTAATTATATCAATCTGATAATGGTTCTGCAAATATGCTTTAGAAGTGAACATTATCGATTCAAATCTTCGTCTAAGTTAGCTGGATAGCATATTAGAGTTATTAGCAGTAAGCAAACATAAGTTGCTATAAGACCATTATAAGCTTGTCATCATATTTACCATAAGTTTAATCTCACTGAGGCCAGTACTTACATTTCGGCGCAAATCGGATTATTAACTGAACTTAAAGGTCTAGAGTATGAAGCTTTTCACAAATAAATTCTTCATCGAATGAAAGTTGGAGATAACTGATCACCTAGTAATTTGACGATTGAAAATTTTTGAACTGACAAACACTGACAACAATATTATTGGCCACTATTGAGAGTCAATATTCAATAATTAAATATCATGTTCATAAATGTTATCGTTCAATTACTGTGATTTGAAAGTGGTGCTTCGCATTGAATGCAATTTCATATTTGCATAAAACGAATGTGTCCTCTCATATTTAAACGATAATTCAAAAAAGGATTTAGAATCTAGATTCCATATAAATAAACCAAATACTACTTAATTACTGATTGTAACCGAAAAGAAAAACACAATTCAAACAATGGTTAGCATCATGCAGTTGATTTTCATCATTTACGGATTCATTTTTTTAATGTATATTAATTGTATTTTTTCAGTGACTTATTCAAATCTCAATTTGAAATCCTACGATCTAGTAAAAAAGCTTAATGATTAATGACTAGATTTAGATAAATAATTTTGTTGTTGTTGTTAATTGTATTAATTACATTATTACATTTACACTAGGCTGAAATGCGTATTAGTAAAACACCCTAAGTGTACAATCACACCTACTTAGACTACTTTTCGTACAAAGTGAGGTATTTATGAGTTTTATTATTCATTAAGTATATATATATGTATATTTCAAATTTTATCACCTTCCACTAAATGATGATTTAAAGTTGAAGAAGATGTGTGTGCGACATATCTTCATAGAATGTTTAACACATCACTGATATTGAACAAACTAATAAAATGCTGTCTTTGACCACCTCCTCACTGAACTCGTGTACACGCTAATATTATTATCGTAGATCATACAGAAGTGAAATAAAAATTGATTCTAGTACTTCATGCTCTGATGTTTAGTAGTGCATTCATTATGCATTTGTATAAACTAATTACAATAAACAACTCCGCCCGTAGTCCCTTCGGGGCTACTGCCGGTCCCAAGCCCGGATAAAGGATGAGAGGTTGGACATGGGGTTGGCGCCCCCATCCCAACTAAAAACTAACTTGCCAAAAAAACGCTAACCAGAAGTAAGTAAGTAAGTAATTACAATAAACATGACATGGATTTTATCCTTAACATTCATTCATATACGTAT